GAACACAGCTAAATGTATCAAAAGCATGTCTATGTAATATTAGAATTTTCTGGGACAATGAATTTTGGTTTTTTATTTTTTCCCCCCAGTTAAGAGGTTTTTATTTAATAGAATTTTTGGACAAAAAAAATCGCAATATATCGTGATATATCGCCTTGCTTACAGTATCGCAATATATCGGGATATATCRTATCGTGACCCCTCCTCATACGTATCGTATCGCCAAATTCTTGCCAATACACAGCCCTACTGTTGGTGGGCCAAATCAAATGGCTTGGCCGGCCAAATTTGGCCTGCAGGCCCCACTTTGGGCTCCTCTGGTTTAGACTAATAAACAATACTACAAAATTATTTAGTTATAGAAATTATAATTTCCTACACACAGCAACAATAAAGCTACTTATTGCACACTAGACAAAAACATTTTCCTCCATATCAAATGGTTCAATTCAGAACATATATACTTAGTGCAAACAAAMCACTTTTAACAGCATGTTTTATTTAAATCTGAGCGTAAACACATACAAACACATAAAAACTGTCGAACTTCTCCATCCCAAATGGGTCTTCTGTGGACATGACCTTTGTTGACCTGTTTTCAGTTTCTTCAGCCATTTCCATGAGTAAACAAACAACCGTTTGCAGCCATTCACAGATTTTCTAACAAGATTTTGGCTTAGAGTAATTAAAACCAAAATCAATATTTTTTATTCAGATAAACTGTCCAAAATGTGCCTTAATGATTGTATTTTAATATTTCTGTGCAAATTTGAACATTTTTTTTGTAATTTTGTTTAATTCTGTCATGTTTTGTCTAAAAAAAACTACTTGGTGCTGCCATCCATGGGTCAACCGGTGCCTACTGCAGCTGATTTTTCCTACTGATTGAAACAGTRCTTACTTTATTGCTTGGGACGTCCTAAGTCACTGCTCCTGTGTTTGAGTATAAAAGCCTTTCTCTCAGACACACCCCTTCCTGCAGTAAGTCAAGGTTGGAACAGCAAGCTGATGAAAGTTTGTTACTGCTTTAAACATTAAGCCCATGTTAGCAAAAATGCTGCAAACATCACTTTAACACTCAGAAATTGGACCCATTCTGTTCTCCGTTGTCTAGCAGTACGGGCTTCATGCATCAGTTAGTCAGCACCGTGAGCCAGCGGCCCAATCCGATAAGGCAAGGTGGGTAAAACGTCTTCTGTGCTTATACCTGCATCGCTCTGTCTACTCTCACTGTTTGATGTAGAAGCTGGCCGGCTCTCCTCATTCGTATGCTTTCAGAAATGAAGCAGGCAGAAGGAGTAAAACAATTCATCTGGGCTGAAATGCAGTGCGGTGCACGAACACCTTGTATTACTCATAAAACAAACTGAATTAACACAGGTCACATGCTTTCAGTCTATTTATTATTTATTTTGTAAATGTATTTAAGATATTTTGGTGTTAAAATGCATTGTAATGTTTTCACTGTGATTTACTCAACTTTCCTGTTTTCTTTGTATTTACTCAGCACCTTTTCTGTTCTATGTCAGTTTAACAATTAGGAAAAGACCCCACCCCTCATGTTTTTCCAACAGTAACAAATATTTTACATTTTTAGGATGTATTATACAACATACCTAAATTTCTCAATTTTTTAAGATTATGTATTTACCTACAATTTGGCAAGGAAAATCGACAACAGGTGATTCAACAAATACCCTCCTGCCGTTTGTATATAGGATTTGCGGTACTGAACTCAATTATTGCTGACAAGTACACCAACTAGGGGTGTAAGAAAATATTGATACACTGAAATATCGCGATATTTCATTTCCCGATACTGTATCGATATTCTAAAGTCCTGTATTGATTTTTAATTAAGGTTTAAAATGTCAACCTTCTTGCCAACCGTTCATTTTTATGTTGTAGTTCAGCCTCTGACCACTAGTTGGCAGCAGTGAGCCAGCCATTTGGCTCCTCTACTTCTTGAGCGCAAGAGAGTAAGAGAGCATTAGCATTGTAAGTAAACATTAGCTTTTCTTTTTTTTTCAGTAAGAGGTTTTTATTTAATAGAATTTTTGGACAAAAAAATCGCAAAATATC